TCTCCCTCCAGCACAATTTCACATCTCAGTGCATATTGAACTTTCTCCTGAAGCTGATATACTGAAACCTCATGCAAGGTTTAGCTTATTGTGTTTTTTTCCCACTGTTCTCCCATCTCTTTGTAATATATCATGACTGAAGTGCCTTTAATGAAGCTACCCCATTGATGCGTATTATAACATAACATCATAAAACTGGACTGGATAGATTATGATCTGCATGGTACTGTGAGATGTCAGGTTCCAGGGCGAGTACTTAAAGGCTCTGTAACCTCCCTTCAAGGGTTCTTGAAAGTCCAATATAAATGTTGTTAAAAAGGTAAAAGTCTTAAACCACTAATTCAGAGATGCTCAAGTAAACTTCTAAATGCATGTTTTCCTTAATCAGAGCCATGCAACCAGAATATGAATGAGTCATATTGACCTCCCGCCTCCATCTGTATATATTATTCTCTTTAGGAGATGTTTCTGTTTTTATTTTTTATTTATTTATTTTTTTTATTTTATAAGTTTAATATTTTAGTCCTCTTATTTACTTTTTTTTTTCCTCATTGTCTTTGGTGGCAATCTCTTCGGAGCTATTGTGACATTTTCTGGCCTGTTGCAGTGTCTGGTATCTTTTCGCAGAGATAGTGCTAGAGCTTTGAACTCTTTATGAGTGGGGGTAGGTTACATCTGTAATCTTTAGGAAAAAAGAAAATAACTCCTCTCTGCTTGTTGTCCTCTGAAGGCATCACTTGTGTAAAGTATCATCACTCACTTCTCTTGTCAGCATATGCATGAACCATTCACTTCCCCTGATAGTAAAGGGTTTTGTTTTCTTTTTTCTAAAGTGTCTATTTCCGTCATTTGCTTATGAACAAACTAATGGTTAGACACACTAGAGGTCACTGTAGCTTCATTTGCTAAGGTAGCAAGTAGCATTTCCTGCTGGACCAAATGACTTTAGGACTGGTGTACACCAACAGTTGGGTATCCACAACTTCTACTGAAATCAAGATAAATTGTACAAATGCAACTGACAATCTAGCCCTAGAAGTTAGAACTTTAAGGCTTCTCCACCAGTCTAATGCTAGGAGCATGAACCCAAGAATAAGGATGTCATACCTCACACTTTTAATGAGTTTAAGCAAGAATCACAGGGATGTGATTTTGTTTTACATGTCAGTGTAAACTTGTATGGAAAAAAAATGAGATTAACCTTTTTGTGTACAGTTTAAGAAATACTGTATTATACCAAAATAGTTTCTAGACTGGTAGAAACTATTTTCTGCTCACTTTATATTTTCAGTACAGTTTTAGAGACTTTTGAAGTGATTAAAATATACTTGCAAAAGTTGCAGCAAGTTTTTGGCATAACATGGGGGTTATTCCCCAGGGATCCAAAGGCAGAATTACCATTTTTGGTAAGAGACAAAAAGGTCAATGGAGTCCAGCTGAAGAAGGCCATTGTTCTAGCATGCAGTCCTCTGTATTAGGGCTAATGGACTGATTCAGGCAGGCTCCACAAGCTGTGTCCAAGGGGATTCATAAGTTTGAGTTACTGAAGTGGCCTAACATGTGATAGTATTCCCCACTAATTAACAACTATTTGACATGAGAACATGACTACTACTGTTGCAATAATCCTCTTGAACTTAGAGAAATGTAGCTATTCATATAATCAAAAATTGCTTCAGCTATTTATAGGATCAAGCATTCCAAAAGTTTAAGTCTCAGGCAGAAAGGGGCAAATAGGCTTAGGCAAGCCAATGCGTGCTACACAGTGCAGTTATTCAATTGCATGGATTTGGAGGAGGTGTTATAGAAAACTATAGTGCACAACACTTTATTCCCATTGTACTAATATATAATTGCAGGCAACAAGCAACAAGGAGAAGTACAAGCACTTAAAAAAACAAATCAAGAAAGGTTCCTAGGAGAAGTAAAAAAACTGTGAAGCACTACGAAGGGGAAGTAAATAGATCATGCACCTGATGTTAGTTGGCATTCTCAAATATCATGTGAATAGACAGGATGCTGGATACCTATGTTTCCGAGAGGTGTACATCCTGAAGAGCTTCTGTTTATTACTACAAAGCTTACTAGGAGTGAGGGGAAATAGAGGATCATATTACTAATTATTCCACTACTTGGAAAGGGGTTACGTTTTCTATACAAGCCAAGTTAAGTTCCAGATCACTGGCAATTCTTTTTTTTCACAATGGTGCATGCAAAAAATAAATTAATAAATAAGTAAAAAGGAAATGGTTTAAAATTTAATCTTCTTTGAGAAACAACTACTATACAATATTTGTATACAGTATATTGGAAAGAGTGATTTGGAGTAGTGGATTATAACTCTTTTTCTCTCCCTAACCACCTGTGGAAGCAAAACTTCCATGGACTGCAATGAAGAGTTTTGCCAGAATAAGAAATGCAGTACGAGTCCCACTATTTACTACTTTTAAGAAAAACTTACTGTGACCAGGTTCAATTCACTCCACTGTAGAAAGCCAGCACAAGACCTATGCACATCTAAGCTTCCATAAGCTTTCCATATAGGATACAAGTGAAGCTTACTTATGTTATGCACCACCTTGTACTGATCCTCTGCTAGACAATGAATTTAACCCTTGAGGTATAACTGTACAGTACTGTACAGAAATTGTACAATATATGGAATTCAGATTTTAAATTACCTAAAAGACTAAATTACAGATTAATTTATGTTACAGCATTGATAATACAACAAAATACCCTACCATTAAAGTTATAAATGATTAAACAAAACGGCACTTACGTACAATATTTTGAAATAAAATATAATCTGTTGTGCTTCTATATTAAAGTTAATATTAAAATACAGACCAAAATCTCAGTGGTATTATCCAAATACACCATGACATATGAAAGGCTTTGGGTCTGAACAGAAGAAAATGAATGAAAAAATTTCTACAGTAAATCCAAAATTATTTTTTTACTGGCAAAAACAGAAAAATTAAATTAAGTTTCAGCTAAACTAATAAACATTTTCTCATCTGCTTTAATAAACCAGAGTAAAGAACAAGTGCATATTCACAAAGCAATCTGATGCACTGCTAAGACAAACGCATTGTGATTTAAAGAATGAAGAAAGAAGCAGCTTACTTAGTTCACATAGCATCACATGCAAGTTACTCAGCATTGCAATAAGAAGAAAAGTTAAGGACTAGAAGATAATTAACTCTAGAAAGTGCATTGCAGCAAACTGCATTTGCATATTTAATGCATAAGACCACATACATTACATACAATTTTAACTGATATAAAAATACAGCAATATGACATCAGAAGGGCTATAAGCAACCACTGACAAAAATATAGTATTTCATAATAAAAAAGCACTGAGTGGTCTTCAGATTGATATGAAAGCCCAAGATCTCAGTTAAAAATTAAACATGATCAATAATCTTTAAAACTGTTCAGTTGTGTTTTTTTAATAAAGTATCTGATAGTCATCTTGACCCGGAAACACTGATATTTAATGTGCTAGATGAAAAGAATCATTGAAAACATTTTAATACTACTGCGAAAAGTGCATTCCCTTTACCATATAAAGAAGTAACAATAAATATTGACTGAGCTTTTTAAAGGGGATTCGACCAAGCAACTTCCATTATTAATAACAATTCTGTGAAAATTAATGAAAGATATGTAGTTACATTTATTAGGCTACTTTGAAAATATCAAGCGTTATTGCTTATCATGGATTATCTCACGTAATCTTGATAATCAATTACTTATTTTTGTAGCTTCTACTTATGGCAAATATTATTGTGTGTAAATGAGGTGCAAATAACTGCCCTTTTCTTGTACAAACCATACTTTTTGAGACGATAGTATGAAGACATAAGAATCACTGCCCTTGTTTCTTTGAAAAACTTGAAACCAATTTTTGAATATGGTTGTAACAGGAGAGGGAAGTATGAACAGCAATTGAACAATTTTTTATCACATTTTACAGTTTTGTGCAATTTAACATCACAGCAAATTGGGGCAGTGGTTCTCAATCCTTTTAGCTGCAGGGTGCTCCTCCATAACTTAAACTCCATGCATTTAGCATCACCCCAGTTGAGAACTGCTATTGTACTGCTTCACTTCACCTCAGTAGTTCTCAACGGGGGCGCCGGAGCCAGGTGGAACTGCATTACGTGCCTTGTGTGGAGACATATCAGGAAGCAGTGGAGGCAGGAGTGGTGCTCCTCTTTGCATTAGGCTGCCTACATTAGGTTTAGCCTGTTTCCGGAGGCTGGACTGACTGATGCCACCACCTGGTAGGACTGCCTTGTATGGCCCTGTTTTCTGGAGGAGCGTGTGGGGCTGAAATGGAAAAGGTTAAAGCAAGAGTGGGTGCTTTTGCCTGCATCAGGCTTACCAAACCTTCAGCTATTGATAAGGTTTATCAAATAAACCTAATGCAGGGAGGAGCTCCTGCTCTTGCTGCAGCCATTTTGCAATCTGGCTGCATGAGGCACATAGGGCAGGTCCACCTGGTGGCAGTGGCAGCAGCACCTGTGCCACAGCATTCCTGAAAGAGTCTGATGGCACCCTAGTTGAGAACTACTGGTTTGGGGGATGGACAGAGGAACATGAGTAAGCCATGAGTAAGCTTAGGGGTGAACTTACAGTGTCAGTGACTGCAGTAACTGCCCATGTAGATGCTCTTATCTCTGGCTGCTACCATTCATACCCTAGCTTACCTTGCAGGAACTTGTTCCTGTGGTCATGAATGGACTCTTCTAGACTTTGCAAGAACTCTGTGAAGAAGGCCTAACTCATTACTGGGAACTACCCTTTAGCATAAATGCATCTTTTGGTTAAAACAATTAGTAATCCCCTACAATTGAGAAGAGGCATGTTTCCACTCTGTTAGCCTAGGCTAAATAAAAGTTTGATTTCCGACAATATTTAATAACGTTCACATACCATAAATTATTTTTCAACAATTTTAGTCTATTTTGAATCTACTGTACCTAAAGACATCAAATAACCTTTTTGATGTCTGAGATTTTAAGATATAAAGCAGATAAAAAATCTACAAACCTGCTTGAAGCTTCTCCTTGTTCTTTCCTTCAGGTGTCAAGAGGTAGGAGGGAAAAAAGATATTTGTTATGCAGATAGTAATCATATTATATTCATATATATAGTATGTATATATGTGTGTATGGTATGTATGTAGAACACAGATAGTGTTAGATAAATGCTAAACTGTAAATGGATGTGTTAATTAAATTAATATGTAATACACACTTTACAATGCAAGCACAAAAACATTCAAGCAAACTCATCTCTACAGTACTTCTGAAAACATCTCAGTCATTTTAACACATGCACAACATGCGTAGTACATACCACTGCAGACTGAACTGGCAAAGCACTTACTTAGGCAAAATGCATTGCTGACATATATAACAGAAAGTTGTAGACTTTTATTAGACAAAGTCATCTGCAGTAATGAAACAGGTTTGATTTAATTAGGATTGGGATATCGTACCAATAGATATATTTAAAATAATGCTTGGATGCATTGTTTTTTCTGGGCCACACGTTTAATTTCAGCTCCTTTTGATGGGTTATAGCTTCATTATTTATAGAGCTTCATATTCATTCCTTTAAGTTGCTCTATATCTGAATAACTGTCTTAAACAATATTTCACATTTATTAAAATCAATATTTCTGGACAGTGTTATGCCTTTTTATCTAAAAGCTACTTTGAGTCTGAAGCATTTAGGATGAATACTTGTGGTAATGGATCACTTATGGCTTTGTTCTTGTCAACTCTGAAATTTGCAGAGCAGCTTTCTGGAGCCAGCCAACTTTTTTTTGGCTAATATATCTGGCAGATGATTTTCTTTGAGCACATGTGCACTGGCCATAACAAAAATACCACCCTCACAGTTTTTATGCAAGACTGCTATCGTATCCTTTTCCAAACTGTACTTAATACCCTTCATTGCCAGATTCTTGCCCAACATTGAAGCCCACTGGCATACTGCCTTCTGTTAAATTTTTAAGAACAACTGAAAAATCATAGCTGGTGCTTTTCCAGCTAAACACTGCAAATTCTCACCTTTGTTGTGACATCAGCCTATTTTAAATTGGCCAAATTCTGAAATTAGAGTACAAGGTTGTCCTCCATTGATTATGTCTGTGTATATCTAAGGATATAAATTTTCCCAAAGAAAACTGTATTATACCTAAAATTATGATTATGATGTTTTTTCCCTATAGGTCTACAGAAGTAGAATATCATGAAGTTCTCTGCAACATGGTGAAACAGATCTATCTAAAGTCTCATATGGAAAGTCATGATGGCAACCTAGAACCATGCTGCTGAAAAAAACAAAGAAGAGTCTCTGCATTAAATACATATTTGCTCTGCTCATTTTGATTGATAATAAGGATAACAAAGTGACAATCAAACCTCTCCTCACAAATAAATGCAGATAATTTACTGTAGCTATACAAAGAGACAATTTTCACAGTGGGATAAATAACTACTTGAACTTCCAGATACGTTTGCTCCGGGATTCCCAAAAATTCTGTGAACCAAATCCTCAGCTGGTATAGGTTGGTAGAGCTCCACTGACTGTAGCTGAATAATAATACCCATTTAGATAAGGATCTGGCCCAGAACTCCTATTTTTGAGGTGGAAAGCAGCAGTTTTCTGCTTAGTTAATAAGTGCCTTTAGTGTGAACTGTACTGAAAGGACTTTCTAAGGAAGCTAATGTATCTGAACTGCCATAACTCTATTATAAAAAATAACATAGATTTACCTACAGTAAATACGACGAATTAGAATGACTTGGAAATTGAGTCTGTGTTTACTAATATGCATTGATTATGACTAAAACTTAGCTGGTATAGAGAATGGATACCAATAAATATGTATTAACCTTGATATATGATGTTTTAGAAGAAAATGCTTCTAATGTTTTGGTTTGGTAATATCTCATAGACTAATGGAAATTGATTACATTTGTCACACTTTATAAAGAGCCTGATTTATACTGTTCCGATTTGTTAGCTGAGACTCTTAAGAAAAGGAATTTGAGAGAGACAGAACAAGACAAACCAAACAGAAATACTAATTTTCTAAAAGCTTGAACAGACATCAAGTACAGCACCAGCTGCCATAATTGTACCTACTTTGTAGGGCTGCAGGTATGCAAGGCCTTCAAATGAGGCTTCCAGGTAGCAATGGAAACCGATTTCTCATCAGCCGCATAACTACGCCATACACACTACGTGCAGGATATATGATAAAAAAGAAAAACAAGGCAAGAGGGAGCAGGGGATGAAACAAAAATTGAAAAGCAGATTAGTAAACCAATACAAGTCATGGCTATTTTTTATCATTCATAGCACTGATACATGCCTGAGGGGTGGAAGAATACTTTCATAATATCGCCAGGTGGCTGTCAGGTTTGTTCGGCTGGCATCAGTAGAATAAAACCGCCAAGCAGCCTGGTATGAGGAAACAACAGAAAAGCACAAAGGAACCAACAATATGAAATGAACGTGCCACCACAATCATGCTGGAAAGTCTGGACTTTTGTTCAAATCGGGATCATTACCTGTAGCTGGCTACACAAATATTGCTACCAGTCAAAATCTAGTGAAACCTACATTCGTTATCACAACATAGTAAAATATGCCTAAGAAGTTTTTGGGGAAGTATCACAAAACAGTCAGAAGATGCAGAGCAGGCAATGTATTGATTTATTTGTGAAAGTCCTAGGGGGACACCCACACACAGCTACATAATGAGATAAAGAAGATGTTATATTGTGTAAATGGTAATGAAAACAAACAAAAGGATTTAGAGTCCAGGTAAAATATTCTCCAGTACTGGAACATTATTGAACATTTAAAACTCTGAAACAAAGAGTTAGATTTATAACTCTTAGATTTATAACTGGTAAAAATGGTGAGCCAGGACCTCAGTTAGACTAAAGTGGTATAGCTGATCTGAAACTGCTTTAGTTATACCAACTAACACAAGCAGAGGAGCTCACCTGTGATGTTAAAAAGTTTCCCAGATTTCTTTCCCTTGTTTCTAATACCTATAGTCATGCTTTCTTGTACTTTCATGAGCCATGTCCTCTGGAAGTATAAAGCCACGTAGCTACACTGACTTCTTTCAGTGCCTTCTGCTTTAATATTAGCACCAACTGGAGTAAAAGAATCGAAATCTTGATTGTGATTCTCCTCCTCCCTGAACTTTATGTAATGATTTACAGTTGTGTGAAAATGCAAAGGAGGTATAAAATGCTACTATTCTCATTCGGTAGCATTTTGCACCCACTTTAACATGTGAAAATTGCTACTTCAAGGGCACAAGAGTGGAGAATCTGAATATGGCATTGTTCTATACTAATTTCATTGCCATCATGTTTTTAAAATGAGGGATTCTAAGCTTAAAATAGATGTTATAACTATTCAGCTACAAACAGGTGCATTTTATGACTGCTGATTAATGTCTGAAAAAATAAAAATAATTAAAAAATATCTTTTTAGCAACTTCACCACCAACCTGTTCATAGAGTCACAAAGCTTATGGCAGTGGTTCTCAACTTTTTTAGATGCAAGGGATCCCTTATTAAACTCAAGGCATTTTAAAAAATGGCAGCTTCCAGCTTTCACTGGGTTTTTGACTATGGACAGCTAGTGAAGAAATTCTTATGTTGCAAAGGACTCAGATCACAACAGGTCAGACTTTTTTTTACACTATAGGTTCCTATTGGATTTCTCTGGGTTTATCTTGTGAACCAAATGCTAAGATTGCATGACTCTCTCTCTGCCTGAAGGGTACCCAAAAGTTTGCAAAGAACATTTTCCCAACTACTTAGTTGGTCGAATAAAAGATATCACATTTACCCAAAGAACCTTGTTTGCCTATGTCCTTAGACCAACATGGCTACAACCAACACCCCCAAAGATTGCGTGACACTCTTAAAAGATTCGCATGCCACCTAGGTTGCGAATCACTGGTTTAAGGCTAGAGACAGATAGTTAGCCATGTTAATCTGAAGTGAGGCAGAAGGCAGAGCAGGGTGACAGTTTACAGACTCTGAACCAGATTCTGAATCTTGCCTGCTATTGGTGTTTCAGGTTAGAAAGAACAGTTAGATCCTCAGGTATGGCATCCTGTGTACTGCAGGCCATTTAGGTCACTTACACACATGCAGGGAGGCTGCTCCGACATGTTGTAAGTCCAGCGTATTGGAGGAGACTCGATTAATTGAGTCTGCTGGAGTGCGGAAATTAACATGCTTCAGCAGCCTCCAGGATTGTGTACCAGTGTCTCTGTGCTGAAAAATGGCAGCAGGGCACTTCAAACTAAAGCTTGTCAAATGAGCTTTAGTTCAAAGTGCCCCACCACCATTTTTTCAGTGCAGGGATGCTGACACATGTGACACTCAGGTGCTTTTAATTAGCGCAGCTCACTAATTAAAGCATTCCCCGTCTTCCCCCCACTGCACCTCTATAAATGTCACTTTCCTAACCCTCAGTTGAGCCCAGTAAGTGATGTCTGGTAAATTAGATAAGCAAGCAGGCTTGATATAAAGACTCAACTCATAAAAAAAATTACTGCTTCCTTTGCTAGTTTGTTCCAGTGGTAAATTAACATAATTTTTTTTTCATATCTGCCTAATTTCTCATTTGAATTTCCCTGGTTTCACTTTCTAGCCACTTATCCTTGCTATGGCTTTCTCTGCCAGATTACAGCCCTTTACTATTCACGGTCTTTTCCTTGCAAAGCTACCTATGAAAGGTGATGACTATCTGAACAAGTTAGTTTTTAAGGTTCTACCCTGCCCTGCCTTTTACTTAGACACTGTAATCATTTACACATCTACTTTTTTCAATAAGCTAAACCAACATAACTCTACAGTACAAATTGCATGGGCTAATTTACCTGTGCTGAGCTCTTCTTTGCCTTGGCAAGACTACTGTGAGTACTAATTGCAGTTTCTTATTCTATACTGCAGTTTGCAGTATACATTTATCCTGCATCTCTAGCTTCAAGGACTTCTCTACTCCTGTACCCTCTTCAGTTCTTCAACACACTGTTTTAACATATGAACACTAGAAAACTATGCAGTATTCCCATATCAGCCTTAGCAAAGCCACTCTCTCCCATTAACTGCTCTCTTGGTCATGCATCCGAGGACAGAATTAGCCCTTGTTTCCATTAAAATGACTCTAGGATTTTAATTGGGTGGCTTGTTCACTATGAACTCCCCCAATCCTTTTTAAAATTACTAATTTCCAGGATGCAGTATCTCTCTTCTGTAGATATTGTTTGGGATTGTTCCTCAGTGTATAACTTTGCATTTGGCTATATTGAAAGTCATTTTGTTTCAATGCTTCTAATATGACAAGTGACACAGGCCACTCTATAGGACTTCTGTGTCCTCCTCATTATTTACTGTCTCACCAATCTTTGCATCATCTTCAGATTTTATCAACTATTTTACACCTATTTTATACTTATTTTACATCTATTTTTAGATCAATAATGGAAAAGTTGAACAACCTCAGGCCTACTGTAGAACAGCAGTAGAAATACCCGCATCCAGTAATGACTTCCCATTAACAATGTATTCTAAGATGAGTTAACTAGTCTGAAGCCATTTACCCTGTATAATATTAATATTTTAATCAGAATGCCATGCAGTACTGTGTCAAACTTCATACAAAGTCAATATATGCCTACACAATTACCTATACCAACCCAACTTGTAATCTTATCAAAGAATGAAAATCAGAAAATAGACATCAGAAAGACTCTTGTATAGTTTGACTTGTCCTATGGTAGGTATAAGTGGAATTACAAAATGTTAATAATGTAAATTAAAAATATACTAACAATTTTGTTAACTACTTGAACATTCCAGAGTCACCTCTGTCATCTACCCTGAGTTCATTGTGGAACAATAGCATATAACTGCTTCACTGTTTCCACTTGTCACTCCAGGTGCATTTCAGTCTAAGGAATCCAATACAATAAATAGATGGGAAACTGATTAAATACCTTTTTCATATGCTAAGAGCTGGACAAGATATCCTTCAACAAGGAAAGATCAATTATGATCGCATGTTAAGAAAATTCTACAAAATTGAGGTTTTAGTCAGTAAATACTATGCTAAATCTATTCATGAGCTTTTTATAACTTCTGCAGCATTGATCTGCATTATCTTGTCGATACTGTAGCTGAAAGGGTGCTCATCATTTCAGACTTTGAGCAATTAGTGTCCACTTTTTTAGTGTTTGAATGAGGTAATATTGATTGCAGTTCTCTGGACAGGACAATGTCAGTCTAAGCAAATGTACATTGGGGCACTATTAGCCTCTTAGTAGTGAAAAATAATTGAATATGGGCAAGAACTAGGTGTGCTCTCTCATTGCTGTTATTTAGTGATCAATTTTCTCTTCAAAATAATTTTACTACAAACTTAGCTATACAAGGTGTTCAATCTGCATGAAATACAGATTATAAAATTACACAAATGCATGGCATTTACTGAACACGGTGTGCCTGAGGACACTATTCAACCTGTAAACAGTATTTCTGCAGACGTTTCATAATATTATTCATAGCATTACCCAGTAAGCACTCTGAAAGTCAGATATAGTTATTTCTCACTATTTTGATATTTACCTGAATTAAACTGGCAGCTGGATTCCTTCTTTTCTCAAAATGCTTCTGACGATGCTGTTCCTGTACTTTTAATGCAAACCCTGAGCCAAGAATGCCCTAGAATATAACACAACAGTTTTTTATCATTAAACAGGTAATTAAAAAATAGTTTTAGCTTGTCAGCTTCAAAGTGTGTGTGAGATTGGTACAAAGCTCCAGCATTCGTAAGTGGGCATTGTTTTGTGTGATTACTTCAAACAACATGTTTATAATGACATTAGAAGTTTAACCTAAAGATAGGAAATGCCCATTTGATGGAAGACAGGAGCGTTCCTGCTTAAGAGATGATATCTGCAGTGTTATGAACTGCCCATCTAAACCATTATTTGGTTTGGGCTACAATATCCCACTAAAATTTTAAACCTGTTATCTATGTAGGTACCCAAGTAATCAGGTGTATAATTCAAATGAGCACTCAGGTGAACTTAACCAGAAATGGTGAAATGACTACTGGCCCAAGCTTCCAAACCTGTAGTTGTTGTGCTGATCTGAATTTATAAAATTAAAAAACACATGGTATAATTATTCAGTATAAAACAAGTGCTTTCGTTTTAAATTAATCTGTAACATTCCTTCCACATGGCCTAAAAACAGTTTATAATGAAATCTTCACCTCTTCTGGCTTTTTACAGAAGAGCCCTGTAGAATAGGCTAAAAATATTCAGACTTCAGCTGAACAGGTCAAAAGGTTGCTCCCTCAGCTCTAGCAAAATGTGTATTCTGGTGAATACTTTTGCATGATAAGGCCAACTGATTCCACTTGGCTCTTACGCTGAAGGAAAAAAAAAGGAAAATCCAGGAAAGGCCCACATATTTTAACATATTTTTTGCAGCACAAAACTCAGCACAAAAGCTGCTCAAGAAAAAAAAAAATGGACAAGAGGATCTAACATAAGAAATAACATTTCTGAGACTTAAAATATTTCCAAGTTAATTATTTTTCACATACCATTAGGAAAGGCTATTATCTTACTCATTGCTAGGACTACATTTTCTGTAAGGGCTAATTGTGTAAGATGTAAGTTCAAATTCAACAGTTGCTGTTAAAATGCCAATAGATATTATAATATAGTGCTTGAGATACTGCATTATTCCTCTGCTCCTTAAATAGGAAATAACTGTGGTTCTGCCAATCTTGGATTCTACAGTATTGCTGATACATAATTTTCCTTAAATCCTGTTTAATATTTGGAAATCTCTATATGCTCTTATTTCTTATCAGGCAATAATAGAAAACAAAAGTTGTAGTGTTGCATTTGAATGAATGAATTTTTGCCTGATTTAATGCATTCTATCATAATCAATTGACATATTCAACACCGCTATGGTACCCACTGTTAAAGTCCCATGTCTTCCAATAGCAATTAATTTGAAAAATAGATCAATTCAATACTTTCAACACCCTGGAAGAAACATACTGCTTGTATGTGAGTCACAATTCACAGCAGAGGAAAGGAATTTCAGCCTTTCACAGTACAGCAGTAACTAATCCTGGAATATTTTCCATATTTGTTCTTGCCAAAAAACCTCAAACAAAAAAATCCGCGACAAAGCATTTCAGTGACTTCCACTTGTGCCATATCATGCTATTAACTTTGACAAAGAATCAGTTAAACTAGTGGGGAAGTCTGCTTCAAAACTGACAGCATGACTCTGTTTTTCACCGAACAATGTACTGCTTAAACTCTGTGGTCACATTATAGATGGCCATACCTGAAGTACTAGCTTACAAGTGAGTAACAGTACAGTTTTAGAAACACTGAAGTCATAATAACACTGTTCCAGGCTGCTAACATCACAGGAAAAGGGGCTTTATGTAGATGATCCAACTGGATGATCAGATTTCCTTACTCAAAGACAAGGCACTCCAGAAAAGTGTTAACATTACTTAGTGAGCTTTATATAGTCAAATGATGACCCTTTATGACGGAAGCTTCCTGCAGCTTATTTTACGGCAGCCTTAGGAGCTGCTGAAGTTTCTACAGCCTTTTTTTGTAAAGATACTCACAGCAGGTAGTGCAAAGAAAGAAATGCCTAGTAGAGCAAACCCTGCAGAAAGCAGCCTTCCAAGCCAAGTAAGAGGAGTTTTGTCTCCATAACCAATTGTTGTCAATGTGATCTAAAAAGAAATGAATAAATACCATGGGTAACTAAACGGAAGTACCTATGAGAAAAGCTAATGATCAGACCCAGAATGCAAAAGAACTTTCCCTTTAAATAATCATTCCCCAAGAAGAAAGAAATTCCAAGCACATTTTCTCTTTTGTATAATACAAATTTCTATTTAAGAACACATATGCAAAGAACATTACTTAAATAAGTAGATATGAATAACTTTGTAGCTATGAAGATTTCTACCACATAAGGTTTGAGTAAAACTGAAGTTAACAGTGGATCTGAAATCCTAAGCAAGTAAGCGGAAACTGAGTGAATCATGAAGAAGATATGGTTATTTTTAGCTTATAAAAGTTGTTTGATTTAATGTTAACACATTAAATGATATACAACGCACAAACCAACAGTAAATTCTCACAACCAAGTATGCAATTGTAAAAAATACAAGGCAAAGAGCAAACAATCCTGTGATCAAAAGCAAGTATAAATTTTTATATAAAAAAGGTCAAAGGAAATGCATAAAGAAGCTACATTTCCTATAAACTCATTTGTACAATAGGGCTGTGTCAACTGTTGTAGCATAAAGACATCCGGGCACATAGGGTATAGACATGTAAGGAAAATATGCAATGAGGCTAGTTGAGTAAAATAACACCTTGAGAGAAATATAGTAATTCAACAGTAGTGGCTGGCTACAGCTTTCCTGACTGCAAAAGTTGCATAAAGGTAAAAATTTAGCTAAATCTGGCCTTCATTACGGCTTCCTGTAATTCAGCCCAAAGCAAAGTGTAAAAAGCCATAGCATTCAGGATTGAAGTGAGATATCCTCCTTACATTAGCAAAAGAATTAGCTCAAGTTTTTAGCCACAGTTATTCATGAGGACAGTGTAAGTCAAGAAGGATATGATAGTGTTAGAGTGATGTTGTACCTGTGGTGATCCAGGAATTATATGAAAAGCAATAAAAATACATTTATCTTTTATTTGAGCAACTGTACAGTTGGGATAAAGTTAGACAAGCTTTCAAATGTTTTGCAGCTTCTCTAACATTATCCCAAACCTGCAGCTGTCCAATAAAGGATATCACCGCAAAAAAATCCATGCCTCTCATTCAGAGGAATGGCATTTGTGAAACACTATTTGCAACTCCTTCCTCATCCAGAAAGGGTAATCAAAGACAAGGTATCCAGGGTATCAAAAGAGCTATCTTGTGAAGGCAGGAGTCACTCCTGTGTAAAACAAATACAGAACATTGCGGTGTTTGATATATGTGAAAAGTCTCTGGCAATAGAAAGCAGCTGCCACCACCATTCACTGAACTCATGCCACATTTGAATACAGTATGTATCCCAGATGTTGCTCCACTGTCTAATGTAGTTTATTAACATGTCCTGAAGGTAGAACAACCCACAAGATTGTAGTATTTTGGCTATGGAGTGTGAGTAACAGACTTGCACTGTGAAGCACACAATCAAAAATGCATTGTTTAGTATCAGTAATCAGAGATAAGTCATAGAAATCACATAAGCAACCAACATTACATATGTTGGGGGAAATTCACCCCTAGCGAGGAATGCCTTGAGCCAACCTTCCACATAATCTGAATCCTGAAAAAGGTCTGTGGGGGTCTCCACCATGCCAACAAAATGGCTTTGCTGGCATGGAAACTCACTTTGGAGCTATGGAACAGACCAGAGGAAGGGTCACAGATATGAACCTGAAAATCTCAAGAGACACTAGTACCCAAGGATTCCAGCAACAAGGTTTCTAGTGGTCAAATTCCAGTCCACGGACAGAGAAAAATAGATGGAAAAGTGGCATGAGGGGAACTGTGTGACAGCTCTGCATCCTGGCATAGGTTTGGTAAGAGTATTTCACTTCCCTGCACTTCTATATATAGTCTGAATATTCAAGATTTTTATAGGTGGAATTAATTTTACTCTTTGATAAAAATTAGTTATGCATACGGTGGGTTATATTAACTTCAAACACAACACTTAATGTCTCACATCCAGAAGAAAGCAAACTGAACTTTAGAGGATAAAGATGGACAACAAGAGGCTAGGTGCCAGGGATTCCAGAGCCTGCTATTAGTGGAAACCTTGGACAAAAGAACTATTTGACATAATGTTCCAAATGTGGACAAGCTCAGGCTTAAACTTTTTTCTGGAAGAAGTGAATTCACAAGGAAAATGTCTATTGCAGACAACATCCTGCCTCAAGCCCCATCAGACTTCACTCTTCAATCATTAAATATACTATTTAATGCATGGGTCATCACTGGGCAAAGGGAAA